TTCCAGTCACCAGGGACTTCACCTGACTGCCATGACTTTTCAAATCATGGAGAGGGGCTTGGCAACTACATTGGCCAATTCCCTCAGGACTCTGGGATGCATCTCATTAGCTCCCATGGACTTATGTGCATTCAGGTTCCTCAGGTGGTCACGAACCTGATCTTCTCCTACAGCAGGAGGGATTTTGCCCTCCCAGTCCCCCTGATGCCATCCATCAACTTGGGAGGGGTGAGGGGAGAGGTTGCCAGTGAAGACTAAGGCAAAAAGTTGTTAAGTACCTCAGCTTTCTCCTCATCTGCTGTTACCAGCTTGCTGGTCTTGCTCATCAGCGGAGGTACGCTTTCTTTAACCATCCTTTTCCGGCTGATATACCTGTAGAAACCTTTCTTATTATTCTTTGCATCCCTAGCCAAGTTTAGCTCCAGCTGCGCCTTGGCCTTCCTGACCCCATTCCTACACAACCTGACCACGTCCCTGTACTCTTCCCAGGATGCCTGTCCTTGCTTCCACTGCCTGTTATGTTTTACTGTTATGTATTTAGTTGCATCAAAACAGTTAGCCTGTAGAGGGTGCTAAAAGCTTGGAATGGGTTTTTTTGTAGTGCATAAATGCCTAACTGAAAAAGCTTATTAAATAGGATAAACGGCCCCAAATTTGGCTTGATTTTGTAATCTAGCCTTCTGGTTTTTTTATATAGGGAAACAGAGTTGCAAGTCACTAAGGAACACAACAAAGAGTCAAATAGGATAGAGCAGCACTGTAAATCAATACCTGATAATTTTGTATATTCTTACCAGTTACCAATGAATATTGCACAAAAGTCAATACGAGAATTGGAAGATTATTATGTAATGTACAGTCTACATGAATATGGTTAAGTACTGGAAATAGAGTTAAGAAAGACGTAGTTAAACATAATGTCAAGAAGGAGGAAAAGTGCGGTTTTGGGGTAGCCTGGAGAAACCAAAATTGTTCGGAGAACACAGGTGAGATCTACTCAAAGCTTTGACAAGCGGCATTAATTCCTCTCCATATTTACTGGAGACGTTTTTCATGATAATCCTAAGAAGGCCTTTATTAGGGACATTACTTTGGCAGCACTTAGTCATCCTGTGACCCACTGATAGAGTCAGAGCTTTCTCGTACTTGGTTCATGAACTATGAGTCTTCCTTCTCTCCCACTTCACCTTGTGTCAAATTCCTGAGAAGCCTCAGTGTATGGCTTGGTAGTTCTAGTATTTGTAACTTTCCTAGTGCTCTAGACCTATGTCCCTTCATGCTTTTCTGGTTACCAACTGTGTTTAAAATATGTTCCCATATTGTGTTACAAGGCCGTGTCTGCACAATGCACCTTTTTGTATTACATTCAGCAGTGACCATATTAAAAATAACAAGCTTCAAAGCTTGTTCTTGATTCTGCTTAATTCTAGTGGCAATCTTCCTATAGGTCAGTAGGCTCCTTTCAGCATATACAAATCCCCCCTTTTTTTTTCTCAAATAATAAAACTATCACTTCAGAATACTGAGTTTGTTGCTTAATAAGCCTTCTTTCAATTTTCTTGCTTTGTTTTTCTTTTTGCAAAGAGGGAGCCAAGATAAAGGTTTTTTTTTTCCTCTTATCATAGCTCTCAATATTTTCTTCAAAGTAATTCCATACATACAAACACACACACATATGCATGTGCATGTATACAAAGGTCTGTCTCAACAAGATTAGTTGTCTTGACTGTTTCTAAGTAGTTGTCTAGCAAATAAAATTATCTTCTTGTGCTTACTGTTCTGAAAGACTGCAAAGGATATATTGAGGATCTTTTAAACCTGGCAGCTGGCAAATTGCTTTACCATAGTTGCAGTGTCTTTATTCCTTCTTTCAGGAATGAATAGAATGGCGTAATTTACATGGTACCTTTCCTCAGGTGGCAGGAAATTACTGATAGTCACAGCTTACTGAACATAAGAAGAGTTTTGGGCATGGTAACAGAGAAAAAAAGAGATTTAGCATGTGTAGGACAATAAATTTAAGAGTCTTGGTTAATCTTGCTTTCCTCCAACTTCCACCCTTAAAGTGTGCAGGCAATCTGTTCGCTGTGTGACTTCTTCCATTGGTTGTTTGAAGCCTGGAAGTGATTTTGCTGCCTTTGCATAAAGCAAAGCGCAACTGGTAAGTCTAGCAGGTTCTGAGGTCCCTGAAAGCCGAGTCGGCTGTACTTTCTCTACGCTGTTTTCTTGTTATGGGGAATTCACTTGGGTGCAGAAGAGAGGTTACCAAATCAAAACAGAATTGTGAAGAAAAAACTTGTGGCAAAACAGCCTTCTAATTCTATGGTCTTGGTCTGGAAAGGCTGTTACTGTAGATCTAACAGCCAGGATATCTTGGCTGTATTTGGCATAGGAGCGGCGCCATTAATAATTCTGGAACTTCAATTCTGAGAGGCAGAGTGTCATTACACGAAACAATCTCTTCAGGATTCAGTCAGGTCCAGCTGGGATAGCTTCACAGAGCTCTTTGAGTGTCTCATCATTGAACTTCCTAGTTTCTGTATATGCTTCTGTAATTCAAATGGATTTTCTTAGCACAGCCCCCAGCTTCCCTGAATAGGGGAAATGTGACTTTAAACAAAACACTCATAAATACACAAAGAAAATTTCAAGAGCAGTTCTCAACTTCCCCAGAACCTTGTTTCTGGAAGCCATGTTGAGGGCTGAGAATTATTCTCCTTACTTGTCTTCTGAAGGAGGTACAAAAATAAAAGTTATTTTGGCCCTTTGATGTGACATTGGGCATTTGACTGATGTATTTTCTTTAAGCAATTGCATTTAGATGTAAAAGACAGATGGGATTATAGGAATTCTCTTTTGTCTATCTGTACTGCATACACTAGAGATCCTGCAGGTTTCTCTCAGATGGGTGACTTTCATTTTCTGCTGAAAGCTGCAGGTTATGGACAATAGAGAATGTAAACACAACTGTAGGATGTATAGCTAAAACAATTTTTTTTCCTGCCAATCTATACGAATTTGAACAGGCAAGTTGTAAAATCACTGGAACTGTTAACATATCAGGTAACCACTACCTATCTATTGGAATTACTGTTAGAATGACATAAAAGGAAACCAACTCCTTGTAGCCCTCAGTTTATGTGTATTAATGTGGTTTCAGATTTCCTTTATTTATGTTATAAGGGTGGATAAAATAACCGGGTAAAAGCTTAGACTTCAGGCAGTTCTGAAAAGAAGAAACTTAATGTTTCTCTGAATACTTAGCTCTAATAATTGCCTTTTAACTTTCATTTTAACCATTTGCATAACCTTCTAATAACCCAAATAATCATAGAGTCATAGAATGTTTTGGGTTGGAAGGGACCTTTAGAGGTTATTTAGTCCAACCCCCCTGCAATGAGCGGGGACATCTTCAACTCAATCAGGTTGCTCAGAGCCCCGTCCAACCTGACCTTTAATATTTGCCAGGGATGAGGCATCTGCCACCTCTCTGAGCAACCTGTGCCAGTGTTTCACCATGCTCATCGCAAAGAATTTCTTCCTTCTATCTAGTCTGAATCTACCCTCCTTTAGTTTAAAACCATTACCCCTTGGCCTATCACAACAGGCCCTACTAAAAAGTCTATCTCCATATTTCTTATAAACTCTCTTTAAGTATTCAATGACTGCAGTAATGTCTCCCTGGAGCCTTCTCTTTTCCAGGCTGAACAACCCCAACTCTCTCAGCCTGTCCTCACAAGAGAGGTGCTCCAGCCCTCGGACCACTTTTGTGGCCCTCTTCTGGACCTGTTCCATGTCCTTCTTGAGCTGAGAGCCCCAGAGCTGGATGCAGGGCTGCAGGTGGGGTCTCACCAGAGTGGAGCAGAGGGGCAGAATCACCTCTCTTGATCTGCTGGCCACGCTGCTTTTGAGGCAGCCCAGGAGCTGGTTGGCTTTCTGGGCTGCATGCACACATTGTCGGCTCATGTCCAGTTTTTCATCCACTAGTATCCCCAAGACCACCTCTGCAGGGCTTCTCTCAATCCCTCCTTCATCCTCCAGCCTGTATTGATACTGGGGGTTGCCCCAACCCAGGTGCAGGACCTTGCACTTGGCTTTGTTGAACCTCATGAGGTTCACATGGGCGCACTTCTTGAGCTTGTCCAGGTCCCTCTAGGTGGCATCCTGTCCCTTAGGCATGCCAGCTGCACCACTCTGCTTGATGTCATCTGCAGGTTTGCTGAGGGTGCACTTAATCACTTGTACAGCCTTGCTATGAGATTCAAGTGGTATATTCTTTCCAAAAGCAGTTGATGCAGTTTTGCTGCTTTTAGAAATAGAGATTATACAAATTACAGACTGTGGATAAGTTAGTCTTCAGTTGTGTGGTTTCGTTTCTGCAAGTATCAGTTAATGTAAGTGGAAGAAAATTTGACTCGACAGACATGGTATCAAATGTAGTGTTTCAGAATGCAGCTTTTGCATGTTTTCTGGTAATATACTCCTTCCTAAGGTCTTTTTCTGAGTTTCTGTTATAATAAGTCTGTAATCTGCTCCGCCCAAGTTACTGTCCACAACATTGTTAATTTTTTGTATACAACAGTATTTGGCAAAATGGAACATTGTATGACTGAATATATTTTAGGGTTTTGAGAAGTTGTCATGCTCCAGGGTCTTCAGAGATTATCCTAGTCAGCATAGTCATTTCCATATTGCTTCAAAATTGTTTGAAGAAAGCTAGCAGTGAACATTATACTGAGATTTTTACTATGACTTATAAGAATT